GGGGATTGGTCCTGCTTTGAGCAGGGGGTTGGACTCGGTGACCTCCTGAGGTCCCTTCCAACCCTGATAGTCTAGGATTCTATGATAATAAATGGTCAGTTTTCAGAATGGAGAGAGGTAAATAGTGGTGCCCATCAGGGGTGTATACTCAGATCAGTACTGTTCAACATATTCATAAATGATCTGGAAAAAGGGGTAAACAGTGAGGAGGCAAAATTTGCAGATGATACAAAACTACTCAAGACAGTTAAGTCCAAAGCATACTGCAAAGAGTTACAAAGGGACCTTGCAAAACTAGGTGACTGGATAACAAAATGGCAGATGAAGTTCAATGTTGATAAATACAAAGCAATGCACATTGGAAAACATAATCCCAACTACACATATAAAATGATGGGGTCTAAATTAGCTGTTACCACTGAAGAAAGAGATCTTGGAGTCATTGTGGATAGTTCTCTGAAAATATCCACTCAATGTGCAGTGGCAGTCAAAAAAGCTAACAGAATGTTGGGAACCATTAGGAAAGGGATAGATAAAACAGAAAATATCATATTGTCTCTATATAAATCTATAGTGCACCCACATCTTGAATACTGCATGTAGATGTAGTCACCCCCCATCTCAAAAAAGATATATTGGAACTGGAAAAGGTTCAGAAAAGGACAACAAAGATGACTGGGGTATGGAACAGCTTCCATATGAGGAGAGATTAATAAGACTTGGACTTTGCAGCTAGGAAAAGAGACGACTAGGGGGGATATGACAGAGGTCTATAAAATCATGACTGGTGCGGAGAAAATAAATAAGGAAGTGTTTAATCCTTCTCATAACATAGTAACTAGGGGTACCAAATGAAATTAATAGGCAGCACGTTTAAAACAAACAAAAGGAAGTATTTCTTCACACAATGCATAGTCAACCTGTGGAACTTTTTACCAGAAGATGTTGTGAAGGCCAAGACGATAACAGTATTAAAAAAAGAACTAGATAAGTTCATGGAGGATAGGTCCATCAATGGCTATTTGCTGGGACTCAAAACTATGTTCTGAAGTGTCCCTAGCCTCTGTTTTCCAGAAACTGGGAATGGGTGACAGGGGATGGATCTCCTGATGATACCTGTTCTGTTCATTCCCTCTGAAGCACCTGGCATTATTGAAAGACAAGATACTGGGATAGATGGACCATTGGTCTGTTCTGGTATGGCTGTTCTTATGTCCTAAAAACTGACTTTAAAGAAACAAGCGCAAACCTTCCCACAGTGCCGTTGGTCAGCAACAAGAAAAGGCCTTGGGAAGAAAGGAGGCTGTAAATCTTATCTGGATTAAGACTGAAAATAGGGGTGAATTGTCTCAAACTAGATTTTAGTTGAAGTCAATAATTGGCAATGACATTATTTGTTTTTTAAAGGGTTCATTGCTAATACCTACCTGACCACACTGGAGCCAACCAATATGGGTCTAAAAACCCCTGGGTTTAGCCCAGTTGCAAGTATCTTGATCAAATGCTTAAAAATGTTTTGTTGCTCTTTGGATGTAGTAAATTGCTTATTATGTAGGCTTTTAAAGCATGTTTATGGCAATTATATAAATACCATTTGGCCTCTGACTTTAATAACATAATTTATGGTTAATTAATGTTTGGTGGTTTCCCATATTAATAATTTCAAATATCATTAAAAATTCCAACACCCTAGCTCCTCTGATGCTTTCTGGCCAATGACAGACAGTTTGTAAGCATGTTTTCTTTTCTTCAGTCTAGCTGACAGTTGAAACAAAAGGCCCCTTTAAATTCAATCCTTAAATGCAGCTCTTCTCCCACAACCATCTTCACAGCCTTCTGCTGTGAATGACTTTCCAACCAGTGTGTGCTTCATCAGAGCCCTCTGCTCTAATTGACTGGCTAGACTTATTCACAACATTTAGAGGTGAGGCAGTCCCAGTCTAGGGGGATCAGTTCTACCATAGTATTTGACATAGAGAAGGGAACAGACATTCTGGGCTTTCAATGTCTCTTCCATAACAAGTAGCTTGGGCCTTTTTTGAGTGGTAAAGGACACAAATGGCACTCGAGGGAGTCAGTATACAGATTGGAGCCACAGCTGCAGGGCAGAGTGATCTAAATCATTGCTTTACATCACTTGATTTTTTTAATTGATTTAAATCCGGTTGAGGCTTTATAAACCTAAATTTGATCTGGGCTATTGGGACTTTAGTTTAACCTGACAATGAACCAAATTATAAATGCTGGTTTTGGGGGTTGTTGTTTTTGTTTTTTTTTAATTATACTATTGCAAAGGTATCTTGTCTGAATTTTACAAAACTGTAAAAAATCAAAATATTGAAAATTAAGGCCTTGAGCCTGAAAACACAAACTAATAAACTTTATTCACGTCAACAGTGCCATTGACTTCAATGAGACTACTCCAGTGCTTAAAGTTAAATTTGTGCATAATTGTTTGCAGCAACAGAGGCTACAGTTGTGTTTTTTGATACACAGAGGATATTTTTAAAAACAGGAGGCTAAAATTGGACTTCTAAGCCCACATTTAGGTAAGTGTGAAATTTTCACAAGCACCTAAGTGACTCAGGTGCACAAACCCCACTGACTGCTCATACATCATAGTTTGTAGTTTCTATGGTGTGGCTATTTGTTTATCAGTCTTGTATACGGGTTCATGTATTCTCACAGTAAGGGTGTTCATGAAGCTTGGGACTTATATTTTTCAGCCTGAACATTTTAAGTGTGAAAACTTCTTAGTAGAAAAAAATCTATGTGAAATCTGAAATTCTTATTTGAAAACTAATTAAAGTAACAAGTGCATACATCCAGTTTAGCACTGGGAATAATGTAAAGAATTAACATGTAAATAAAAATTCTGATTTAAATTTAAACAGATTTAAATTAAAAATATAATGATTTAAATTAAAAAATAGAAGTAAATAATTACTTTTATCCACCTTACACAGCTGGAGTAGTGTTTGAAACCCAGTTTCCTGTCAGGGTCAGCCATGACAATGAACAATACTAACTGATATGATCCGAATCATCAGTTGGTAATGAACAACTTACTTAATAGATAAGAACAAATCACAAATAAACGGTTCCTACAAAAAGGCCACCAGAACACTTCTCTATAGGACTTTAGTTTTAACATCAATATTTAAAAAAAAAAAAAAGTAACAAGCCAATTAACTATTTGAAAGGAGAACGAGTAAGAAAGAATTTTAACACAGCTGACTGTGCTGGGAGAAACAACGAGGAGTCCTTGTGGCACCTTAGAGACTAACAAATTTATTTGGGCATAAGCTTTCGTGGGCTAAAACCCACTTCATTTCCACTCCATGCACCTGATGAAGTGGGGTTTAGCCCAAGTAAATTTGTTAGTCTCTAAGGTGCCACAAGGACTCCTCGTTGTTTTTGCTGATACAGACAAACATGGCTACCACTTTGAAACCTGGGCTGGGAAAGGAAGTGATGGTTGATTCCTTATCTACTCCTGCACTAAAAGTTCAGATCCACCAGGGGGCACTGTGCATGGCCTCACTGAACACAGCTCTGCCAAAGTGGAAATCTGCAGGGGGGACTAACAAAGGAGAATGAGACAATCATTAGAAGTAAATGAATTCCTTTTTCCACATTATATTACGCTTACAAAGTGCCCCAAAGGATTAAAATGTCCTCAATAGTAAAGTTTCCTCTTTTGTACACCATAGACAACTTCAATTAATGACAATTTCTAGGTAGTTTTAAGGTTTTAATGCCTCCTGGTCATTAAGCTGGTCAATCTGTGCTAAACTGGTATTTCAGCCAACATGACCTTCATCACAATCCTTACGAAGAGAGCAATAACTAAAATGGCAGTTTATGTGTGCATTTAAACTCACCACCACAGTGAATCAGTGCTGGATTTGGGAATAGAACCCAGCAGTCCCTACTGCTGCTTAACCACCAAACATCACCACTTTCCACCATGAATTTAATTATGAAGTCTGAAGTAATGCTCTGCCATTATAAGTGCTATTCTAAGCTGGTGTTTTCCATGGCCTGCTGAAGAGAGCATTTAAGAATATCTATTAGTATTAACTTAAATTTTAGACAAGTAGAAGATTACCCTTTTTTTTCATAAATAATAAAAAGAATGTGGTGAACTGAATGAGAAGAGAAAATATCAAGGGACACAGGAGATACTGCAACTTGACAACAGAATGATTCACCCACATTACCACAAATTTAAAAAAGTAACTTACAGTAGTTAATTCTACTAACCTAATCAAAGACAAAAAGCTAATGGAATCAAGGGAATGACACGTTACATTAAAAACATTTTTTGCCCTGTGCCACACAACACACAGAGTAAAAATTTGTTTTAAATGTCCTGTGATACTTAAAATGAGACAGCACTATCCAGACAGAGGATGGAAGCTGTACCCACCCTTATGTCACACAATTATCTTTTCTGCACTCAGTCTAAACACAAATGGTAAGATAATGGCAGGATACATGATCTCTGTGTTGAGTGTTCACTTATCCCATCCCTCAGTTTGACCCATATAAAGAGGGTTTGCTTGAACACTAAATAAGATGAAAACCAAATAACTAATATTTTCCAGAAAGTATTTTAACTCCTTTCAATGGTGCCAAAAAGTGTATATTCCCTGACAGTTCCTTCATATAAGACATCAACTGAAATGGATTGAACATTAGGTCGTATTTGATACACTGCACATATTTAAGCAGTTAAATAGGGTTTCATAGACATTTTACTTAACATCCACAACTTTGTTGAGTACACCATTTAATATAAATGATACAGGGAAACGGTTTTTATTCTGCAACTTCCTGCTCCTCAAAGAATGGTGAGTTCACATTTATCAGGACTCTTCTTTAACATGGTGTCCTCCCTTAAATTGATATATTTCTTCAGTAATCATAAATGAACGTACAATTTCTCCTTTTGGATAGTACTATGCTTTAAATTAGTGTTGCATAAATACCGTTACCTTTTTTGGTGAAAAACTCCTTGGAATATTTCCCCAACATAGCGTATTTTCGAGGGATTTTTCCCAGCAGTTCAATGATCAATGCTATGTGATCTGCATTGGAGAACATTGCCAGCAAAACAGAAACATACAACAGTTTAATCAGTACACTGCATGCACACACTAACACTGGCCCGGTACAGACAGAAATAGATTGATCCTGGTAAAAAAATGTAAGGGCACTTCCACCAAAACTTCTTCATCCAAAATCACTGAACTGCAGTCTTTAAAGATAAGATTTTACCAATAAAGTGATTTAAAATATGTCAGCAATTGTTCCTTTTAAATTAGTGCAACTAAAAAAAGGAGTTCTTCATAGCTTTTTGTTTTTAATTTGTTAATGTTTATATATCAGGGGTAGATTTTTGTTATATGACTTGAGAAAATGCTCTTTATTGGTATGCGTTACAACCAGCAACTGCTATTCCACTTCTGTCTGCATCACGGCGCCTTTCAAAAAGAAGAGGTACTACCTCTGCGATTGAAGAATTCCCGAGAATATTTTCCAGATAGAGCAAAGTGCCTTGGGATATTGCCTAGCAGCTCTATGATGTGTGCTATGTGGTCTATGAAGGAGAGAAAAAAAGGACACAGGAGTGGGAAGGGCAGGGAAAGGATGGGATAAAAAGAGGAGGAAAGAAACCGGAATTAGTAAAAAATCAGAAATTGTTTCAAATCAACAGTGTTTGCAGCAAACCCATGCACAGGTTTCCAGGGTCAGCAGAACTCCGGCATTCTTAGTCGCATTTAGGAACAATGAATGATGCCCATGTTACCGCTGCAAGGGGCATTACAAGCACACAAGCATGGAAATGGACAGGTATATAGATGGAAGCAGGAGTTAATTCTGTGGAGTTTTTTTAAATTAGTAACCAGCTACTTCAAACAATATATACACAAATGTAAACACCTAGTTCAGTGTCACTCTAATAAACAGAAGATACATTAAAACTCAAGTGTGTTGCTTTTTGTAGCTAAAACGTCTTGTTATTTCTCAGTCAGGTTTTCACACATATGCAAATCTTACAAGAAAGCAGTCTAACTCCTTCAGGCTGCTGTTAAGCAAGATGAATGTGTCTGATGAAGGGGGCTTGCCCACTTAATGCTACAGATGGGACTTAAAATTAAAAGATCTGAATTTACAATCTGATACCAAAACACAATGTTTATCAACAGTTTACTCAAGTACACAGATAACACTACTGTGAACTGTTCCAACATCTCAGAAGATACATACCCTCATCCCTGGAATAGTCTTCACCAGAATGTGGTTCAAACAAATAGTCGCCAGTTGCAAGCTCAAATGCCTAGGAAATAACAGACATATTTATAGCTATTTCAGAAATAATTATTTTAATCTTAGAATTTTGACAATGAAATCTCAAATGTTAAAACAGAGAGAATTACACACCACCTCCATACTGGTGCATATAACAAAATTAATTCCACACATGGACGTAAAAAATTAGAGGGAACAATGCCCCAAACCCCCGGTTGAGAACTGCTGCTCTAGAGAGCATGCTCCCTTGCAACACTGAAGATTCATATCCAAGGCTTCACAAGCAGCAGCAAGCCTTAGTCCATTTCTTTGTACTTAATCAGAATCTATGCCTTAGACTGAAGAACTGGAAAAAACAGATAGGGAGTGTGGATCTATGCTATCAATTTACCCGGTAATTCCTGGAGTTTGAATTTACTAGGTAAGAAATCTGTCACCTTTGTGTATCATCAACACAGATCCCTGCTGTTGGGAGGTTAATTAACAGTATCAACCCTTAAAGGAGGTGATTCTGAAGAAAACCAGTTAAATAAAGATTGCTGAGTGCTCACCTTCATTGGACACAAGATTCTGAACTCAAACCAAGATAGTAATGCTGTGTCAAAGTGTGTATCAAACTGCAGTTAGCAGTTTTATGCTTCTCAGAGACAATCACTTCTGAGACACACAGTTTTATCTGGAGGACTCTAGCTTTCCAAGATCCAGTGGCTGAATTCACTAAAGTCCAAACTGGAAATAAAAGGCATGTTTTTAACAGTGACAGTAATTCACCACTTGAACAAATTATCCAGGGATGTGATAAAATCATCATCACTTGGGGTCTCTAAATCCAGTTGGATATGTTTCTACAAATATACTCTAGTTCAGTTACAAGTTGTTCATCTAGATACAGGAATCACGGAGTGAAAATCTATGTCTTATGATCCGAATGAACGTCAGACTTGAATCAGGGGTTCTCAAACTGGGGGTCGTGACCCCTTAGGGGGTCGCGAGATTATCACCTGGGGGATGAGAGCTGTCAGCCTCCACCCCAAAACCTGCTTTGCCTCCAGCATTTATAATAGTGTTAAATATAAAAAATGTGTTTTTAATTTATAAGGGGGGGGTCACACTCAGACACTTGCTGTGTGAGAGGAGTCACCAATACAAAAGTTTGAGAACTACTGGACTAGATGATCGTAATAGTCCCTCAAGGCCTTAAAAATCTCTGGATGAAGGACCCTCTCTTGAAATCAGTGGCAAAATTCCTCATAATATCTACAAGACCAAGATTTCATACCATGAATCTATAATATAATGTATTCTAAAACTTTCAAGGCACAGAAACACCTTCAAGGGCATACATGTTTGTATACCTAGTTGGATCCATTTAGACAATCCTTGGGCAAAAACAGTCTCCCCCACATGAATTTATCCTGACAGTCTACAAGTAACCTATGTGATTTACAGAAAAAAATAATTTCTTCTAGGTAGGGAAATGTTGTCAGCCACATTTTACTGATGGCAAAACTGAGGCAATAAAAACATTAAACTGAATTGCACAAGATCAGTAAACTGAATTGCACAGTAGGTCAGTGATTCACACATGTCCAGCAACATGCTGTATTCCAAGCCACAAAATTCAGAGGCTTTAGGTCTGGATAAATAATCTGGCCCTGAGCTTGTGAAGGGAGATCCAGAAGAGCTGTAAAATGAACTGGAAGTTCCAAAGTCAAGGAAGGAACTCTGAGAACCAGAAATGGCAAGCTCAGGTTAGAGCTATATTACCTCAACTCTGTCATGCCTGATAGTCCTGAAGACTCTTCATAACAGCTATAAAAAGGCATACAAGAATCTTGACTCCAGCCTAAGAAGTCAAAAGCTTGAATCCTCATCCTGAGGGAGGGAAACTACGGTATGTCATATTTTCCCTTATTGAAAGCAGGTCTATTTAAAGAGAACCCAAACTTCTGAATACTAAAATTACTTGAACGATCACTTGTGCTGACCACTGTCTCTCCAATTTAAGTCATCTTCCAAGATGTTGCTTTTTCTGGGTAGATGAAGGGGAAGAGGAGGGATACATTGAGAGCCTGACAACTTTTTGATCCACTCTTTCAGTTCACTTTACTCCATGGTTGTGATGGTGTCTGCAAAATACTGTTCTGCCTCTAATTCACAGATTCGAAGGCCAGAATGTAATCATTGAGTCTCACCTCCTGTATAATACATGCCATACATTCAGAACTTCCCCAAAATACTTCATGGAATATAAGATTTGAATATATAATTAATTACCTGTAACTCTAACCTATTTATAGGTCCTTGACTTCCACAGGCTTTGAATTGCATGGTGATCCATAGAGCCCTGCAAATCTGTGGATATCTACTTTATATTTGCGGACCGTTTTTGCAGATCACAGATCGGATGCGATACAAATTTTGTATCTGCACAGGGCTCTAGTGATCCAAATGAGCCCATATCAGAATAATCTGTCACAATAATACCTGGCAGCTGAGGAAAACTGAGACATGTCCCTTTCAGACATTTTTGTCCATCATGCCAGAGAGATAGTGATCTTCAAAGGCATAGTCACTAATGGCTGAAAATGGTCTCAAATGGTTCCAGTATCTATTAAACTAGACTGCTGCCTAGCCCTGCTGAAGAAAGTCTAAAAAGTGAAACAACTGTGATTCACAGTTTTGTGGATTTATACACAGACCCTGGAAAGTTCAAGATCTAGAGCCCCCATCATATATGCAAAGAAATCTCAGCAGCTCCAGAAGTTATATGGTGGTGAAATCACAGAGGATACCACACTGGCATCATAGGGAAAATATAATGGGTTGAGACTCCTCCTTACCAGGATCCTTCAGAAAATCATTATCTAAATCAGATGAGAGTGAGAAGCCATCAATGGCCACCTGGACCTGAGGAGGAGATGTCTTCACTGATGCAGTAGCTGGGGCCAGATTTCTTAAGAGAATGTATGTGAAAGGTAGCTCGTCGTTGCGGATTTCAAAAGATTAATATCTTTTAAAAACTGATTCTCAGATAGAATCCATGTAGGTAGGGACTATGTGGTTTGCTAAAATTAATCTCTTGGAGCAGAATAAACCTGGGTGGGATTAAAAAACTGACTTGCAGAAAATCTATTAACAGAAGTGTGGGGACAGAGACCTAAGATATTGAAGAGTCAGGCAGAGAGGTTTTGGACCTGGGAATACTCAAGTGTGAGCCTCAAGTCTCATTAGATCCATGGTACCTGTTCTACTTCAGTGCTGAGCAGAAACTTGATGACACCTCAGAACTGATTCAGCTTCTCCCTTTGTCTTCTTGTGTAGCTTTGACTCCAGGATTTGAACCGTGCAGGTTTCTATTTGTTTGTAGAGTATACTGACTGGATAACACAAAGTGAATGGCATTGACCAGGCCATACTGTGGTGCTGAGGCTAACACTAAAATACTTTTTTAAACATCCAACAAGAAACAACAAGAATAACAATTAAAAACTCGCTAACTCTATTAGCAAGGAAACAAGTGGCCACAAAAAGAAGGAGGGGTCAAAGTCTTCGGTCTGTAGCAGTCAAAAGGCTCTGGAGTTGGGTCACAGTTACGTCTCCTTATATAATTTCACATCCAAATGGTTGGTGTCCCAGAAAGCATGTGCAGAGCCACAATAGCTCAGTGCCAAGACAATATGTGCTCCCAAGTATGACAAACTGTGCTATCAATACTGAAAATAAGGCTATGTCTACCCGACAAGCTAGGGGGGTAATTCCCCTACTTGCGTACACATTAGCCTGAAACTGGTGGATAGACAGCCAGCAACGCCAAGCTGTGCCTCCCCTGCTGCTATCCGTGCTACCGTGGCTGCACGGCTATTTACACGTGTGCTAGCGTGAGGAGAGTTAGCACAAGTACGTGTATACAAGCAGGGGAATCACACCCCTAGCTCATAGCATAGAGAGAGCCTGTGATAGGGCCTCTGCTCCACACTGGCCCATAAGGGGTTAACAGAGCCCTAGGGAGGTTGTGCAGGAGGCAGCCAATTAAGAGAGGGGTTGCAAGGAGTAGCCAATCAGGGCCAGGCTGGCCTATATAAGAAGGGCTGCAGAGCAGAGCAGCTTCAGTCACCCCCTGGAGTTTGAGGAGGGATGAGGACTGGCGGCCTTGCAGGCTGAAGGTAGCAAGCACCCTGGAGAGACCCGGGGAGCTAAAGGCAGTTCCTGGTGGGCTGCAGGGATCTGCAAGCTGAGGCCCTGAGGCGAGGGCAAAGAGTGCTGGGGCTGCGGGAAAGTGGCCCAGGGAAATCTACTGAGGAGTCAGAGGGGACGCAAGTGGCGGCCATCTACACATCTACAAGGTCCCTGGGCCAGGACCTGGAGTAGTGGGCAGGCTTGGATTTCACGCACACACACACGCACACACTCGCCAATGAGGAAGTAGCCAGACATTGGGCTGCAGTTGCCACTGAGGGAAGTGCCTGGACAGTGGACTGCAATTTCCATGGAAGGGGGGAGCATCGAGTGTGGCACAGCTGGAGTGCTGTGAAATTAAAGAAACTGCCTCCTTAAAGCTTAGACTGGACAAACTGGAACAAAAACAGGATGACTCAGAAAACAAATCTCAAAGAAACAACCTTTGTCTCTTGGGCATTACGGAGGGTCTAGAGGGGAAGGATATTATCTGCCTTCTTCAGAAGCTGCTCCCCTACATCATCTTCCAGCTCCTAGCAGCTAACCAGTTAGATGAAACTCTTCTGTTGAGCTCCTTTGGAACTGAACAATAATGAACTGTATAGCATTGCAATGCATAGAGCAGGGGTAGTCAACAGGCGGACCAAAGGCCAAATTCAGGCTGGCAAATGCTTTTGAACGGACCGTGAAATCTTTTTATTTACTTATTATTATCATTATTATTATTACTGCGGTGTGAAAAATGTTTCTCTGGAATTTGGACCTTGAGTATACTTGACCAAGAAATTTGGACTTTGGCAAAAAATAATTGACTATCCCTGGAATAGAGTAACATTTTAACACTAAGCT